TAGTATTAAACTCCAAAGGTCACGGCTTGTCTCTGACCTTGAATGGGTAGATGCTCCCACCACTCAAGTGCAACCTCTCCCCCCCTTTTGAGAACCCAGGAAGGAGCACTTGGGAATTCCTTCCTGTGGGGTACCCTCAAGCTTTTTCACCCCCCACTCTCCCACCCCCCCGCCGGGGAAGAGCTGAGAAAGAAAACAAAGTAAATCAGCAGTTGCCACCAGCTAATTAAACAACATATGCACAAACCTCTTAGGACACACACAAAAACCCCCAGTCCTGTTCTTAAAGAAGTTAAATTTTATTAAAAACAAAAAGAAAGAAAATACATTTGGAACTTAGGCTATTGCTAGAATTAAAAAGAGCAAATATAATAATTAAGCAGCAAGAATGGTTCTCTTGCGGTCCAGCTTACAAGCAAAAGAAAAGCATTTGGAGGTTAGCACAGAGGAGTCCACAAGCCAATAAAAAATAAAGGAAATAACCCTAATCATGTCCTTCCTACACATTCCCTGATTTACTTGCATATCTGGGGTTCTAAGAAGTAGTTCTAGGTATGATCTGATGATTTTCCATACCTGGTTTAAAGCTTCTTATAACATTGCTGGTATGTGTCTCCTCTCTCCGGAGAACAACAGACAGACCAACCAAGGGAAAGATTTTTTTTCCAATTTTAAAAAGTTCTAGCCCTCCCATTGGCTCTTTTGGTCAGGTGCTCACTCACTTTCCTTTGCCTATGCATGCAGTCAGACTTTTTAACCCTTTAACCCTTTTAACCTAACAGGTAAAGCAAGTAGAGAACAGCTACCCAGAGGGATTCTATAGCTAACTGACTGGCTGGGTCTCCACAAAAGAGAGCTACCCCCCCTTTCATTTATCACAGCAGGTTAGACAAACACTCGTCAGGAATGTTCTAGATAATACTTAGTCCTGCCATGAGTGCAAGGGACTGGACTAGAAGACCTCTCGAGTTCCCTTCCAGTCCTACGATTGTATGAGTCTGTGATTACCAGAACTCATGATTCTGATTCTGCAAAGTACTAAGATAAAATGCTGTAAACTGGGGGCGTTCAACATCCCAGAGATTTAGGCCTCAGATACAGTACTATTGTAATGGTCTTAGCCGTGAAGGTATTCTTTACATTTACCTTTTCTTGGCGACTTGTACTCAAGTTCTCATTTTAACTTTCCCATATTACACAGAGGAGATATATAGATATACTTATGAAACCAGTTGTTTTAGATAACCTTTTCTCGTGAATCTTGTAGAACAGTGACACAGAAGAAGTAGATTGTTATTTTACTGGGTTGTGCTTTATTTTGAAATATTTCATTTCTTGGTGGTGATAGTCTGAACACACTGACTTGTCATGAGTCCCCTAGAGACATGTGATTTCGAAGTGTAATCCTGTTCAAGGGCTGTGGCCACAATGAGAATGGAGGAGGCTATGGTTATCTAATGTTATTCAGGTACTACATGGAGACTGCTTAATTGTAATTAGTAATAAATAAAGGATTTTTTTAACAGTTTGGATCTAAGCTTCTGTTTAATTTGAAATAAAGATTTATTTTTTCCAATTGTATATAACTTGTCATTATTGTAGATATATCAACATGGTATTGTGAATAGATTACGTGGGTTGGACAGAGTGCTAGAGACATAACTGTAGTCTACTGCACTTGGAGCAAGATGGGCTAGACCTAATCGATCTCTTCCATCTCTAATTTCTGTGATATTACTGTGATTGATTTTCATTATTACCACTGACTGAATCATAAAAATGGTAAGAAACAGAGTATTACTCTTGTGTTCTCTCAAGTAATTAATTTCATTGCTGGAGAATGCTATCTATTGTATAATACCATAGCACATTGTTTCAGTAGACATATTCCCTGTGGAGTATTGAATGATGAAAGTGTCTAGGTGCTTGCTTAATTGTACATGAGCATTTCTCAACTGTCAGTTCTGCTGGGGCTTGTTGAGCTATTAATTTGGAATGAAGTAACACAGGAGGAAAACATGTTATCTGATGATATAAAAACACCCATTTGTCAGAAACTAAATGAATCTGCTTTGAAAACACATCTGTTGTGAGGAGATGGAATAAAATGGTTTATTAGCCATGTCTTGACTCTGACAACCCCTGTTGGAAAAGATACAATGAAGCTCTCAATCGGTCACAAGTCACCAAGTAAATTCTGGTAAGATTTTTGAGTCAGTACAATAAAAAAAGTTCTTATTTTATATTTTACAGGTTATATTATATCCAACATCCAATAGCTCAAAGTCGCCTGAGTTGCATAAAATGATAGTCCCCAAAAACAGCCAGGACTCTGACTTGAAGATTAAACTGGCAGTGAGGATGGATAAACCACCCCATATGAAGCATTGTGGGTGAGTATGGAATTTTTGAATTCCTCTGCATGTTATTTAGTTCCAATATTATGTTCACATTTTTCCACTTGTAACTATAAGACAAAGTTGAGAAGCAGCACTGAAATGCACAACAGTTGCTGTAATATGGGAAGGTACCATGTGCTGGCTTTATAAATAATTTGTACCTTGGACTAACATTTAATTCAAAGGATTCACTGGGATGTAAAGACAAATTGTAAGAACGAATTCTAAGATGTCAGAGTGAAAAGTGCAATGCCATTTACAAAAAGCAGTTCTTGAATGTTAGGCTTAGAGTTAATAATGATTTTTAAAATACTTGATATCTAGGTGGCACACAATTTCCATTAAAATAAAATAAATTTTGTATGTGAATGTGGTGCTATTTATAACACAAAAAGTTTGTCCTCTCATGTTCAATATTTCGGTTCAAGGGTATTTGCAGTATCGTACCAATTTAGGAACATTTTCCTGTTTTTATATCTTACATTAGAGCTATGTGTAATGGATTATAAAAAAAATATGAAAACACATGGCCAGCATCCCCCATCCCAACTGCAAAAATAATAATGTTTCCTGCAAAAGGAAAAGGCTTCAATTACAAGTGTTACAAAGTGTTCGGCAGGCATATTTTTTATCCTTCTACACAATGCAAACAAAAGGCAGAAGGTTTCCAGAAAAAGAACACCATTCTAGATTCTAATTGTTACTGTATAAATTAGCATTGAGTATGCTATTAAATTCTTCTGAAATACTTCCTATTGTCTCTATTTTGCTTATTTCAGACAGGGCTGGTGTCGTCGCCTATTATTAAGGATTCCCCAGACTTCCTATTATATAACACAGTTTTCAGTTCCTTTTGACTTTGCTAAACTTTAACCGTATGGCCTGAAATTTTCCATGACCCGTGTCTGCCTCAGGATGGTTTTTTTGTGAAAATGTCAGCCCAAATGTTTCTGTTGTTTCAAAGAATGAGACTTGGGATTGGTAGGGCAAGGAGACTGGGACTGGTTGTTCAAGGGGATCGAGCTCAGGAGCCTGGGGCATTAGGGGAGAGATGCATTGGGTGAGGAGCTGGGAAGGGGGAACTGGGACTGGCTGGGCAAGGAGAGTATGATGGGATGAGAAGTCTGAGAATTGGAAACTGAGACTGGGTAGTCAAGGAGAATAGGACAGGGATAAGAAGCCAGGAATAGGAAGTTGGGGACAGGTTGGAGGGGACAGGGCAGAAGGGGTAAAGCTTCAGGGGGAGGGAAGGCAAAGGGACAGGCAGAAGTGAGTCTGTGCAGACTAGAAGACATTTCCATTCAGAACCTGTAATAGAACCCATGATTCCTGAGTTTCAATATTCTTCTGTTCTCAGAAAATATCTGTGAAACCAACTGGCAAAGTGTGTTTCCATCTCCCTTTAATGCTTCAGCTACAGGATGATGATCTACTATTGAGATCAGTTACTCCATTAGCTCACATGGCTGGAGTCTGTGTGGTGGTCCAGATCTGCTGCTGTGGGTGTCAATATGATGCCACAGGATGGAATTTCTTGGGGGGATTTCAGGGTTTTGGTTTTTTTTAATAATTAGGGCATTATTAAAAAAAACATGTTAAAAGTAGGGATGTAAAACCAGTTAATCGGTAAGCATTAGGCTTCCCTGTTAACTGACATTAACCGTTAACCCCCAGCTGCACCAGCCAGCCCATGGCTGTGCCACGCCAAACCCGGCCATGTCGGCCGGACCTCAGCCCCTGGCTACACCACTCTGGCCCCGGCCGTGCAGCGCCAATTTCTGGCTATGCTGGCCAGACCCCAGATCCTGGCTCCACTGGCCAGATTCCAGCCGTGCCCCACTAGCTGGCCAACTGACCCCAGCCCAAGCCCCTGCCTCGCCAGCCAGAGCAACCCCAGCCCCTCTCCCTTTAATCAGTTAACTGTTTAAATGATAGAATTTTAATAGTTTAAACGGTTAACTTTTTAAACTATATTTACATCCCTAGTTAAAAGAACATTAATAAGTTGGCAAATTCAAGCACTCAAGCAACTCTAATTTATTCCCTTCATGTGGATGCAATGTGATACACTGGATGGACCTCCTCTGGGGAAGGATTAGGTCTGTGTAGTAAAGAAGGGTGACATCTTAGGACCTCTGCCTTTGTTGACAAAGTTGGAAAGTGTTTCGTGACTCAGGCTGGAGGTTGCTGAAGTAGAAAGGACGTTGTCATAGTTAAGGAACTTGAATACTGTGCTGGCAAATTAGATTCTAACCCTGCCTCTTCCAAAGAGTTCCTGTGTGATTCTGGGCAAGTCACTTAAACCAGACTTTTCACGTGTGGTCATTAATTTTGTGTTCCTGTTTCTCTGGGTGTCTGAACTGAGAAATCTGGGTCTGATCTGCAGAAGTGCTGAGGACTTACAATTGCAACTGAAATCTGTGGGAACAGTGTTTTGAACATAGGAGGTGCTAAATACTACGGAGTACTCTGAAACGTCAGGTCCTGCGCGTTCAAATAGGGCATTACAAGTTAATGGATACTTTTGACCTTAATCTCTCTGTGCTTCAGTCCCCACTCTGTAAAATGAAAAAAACAAGACCTCTTCATCTCACAGGGATATTGTGAAGATAAATTCATTGATGTTTGTGAAGCACCACATACTATTATTAGGAATACCATAGAATAGTAATTAATTTAATAATTCTGTTTTCTGAGCAGGTTTGACGGGTGTGCAGTAAATAAGGTCTAGAGCCATACATGGAACAGTGAGGAGAAAACCAAATATTGAATAGCTGCTTATTAAGTGATCAGTATCCATCCTCGGCACTGAATCAGAGAAGGGTCGGTAGGAAAACATATATGATTGTGTAATTAAAGACTGTTATCAGAAGGCATATGCACAAAGATAGTGCTATTATAAGGTGGGTGCATAACTGGTTGGAAAATCATTCCTAGGGAGTAGTTATCAGTGGTTCACAGTCACGCTGGAAGGGCATAACGAGTGAGGTTCCACAGGGATTGGTTCTGGGTCTGGTTCTGTTCAATATTTTCATCAATGATTTAGATAATGGCATAGAGAGTATACTTATAAAGTTTGTGGACGATACCAAGCTGGAAGGGGTTGCAAGTGCTTTGGAAGTTAGGATTAAAATTCAAAATGATCTGGACAAACTGGTCTGGAGAAATGGTCTGAAGTAAATAGGATGAAATTCAATAAGGACAAATGCAAAATACTCCACTTAGGAAGGAATAATCAGTTGCACGCGTACAAAATGGGAAATGACTGTCTGGGAAGGAGCACTGCAGAAAGGAATCTGGGGGTCATAGTGGATCACAAGCTAAATATGAGTCAACAGTGTATCGCTGTTGCAAAAAAAGCAAACATCATTGTGGGATGTATTAGCAGGAGTATTGTAAGCAAGACACGAGAAGTAATTCTCACACTCCATGCTGATTAGGTCTCAACTGGAGTACTGTGTCCAGTTCTGGGCGCCACATTTCAGGAAAGATGTGGACAAATTGGAGAAAGTCCAGAGAAGAGCAACAAAAATGATGAAAGGTCTAGAAAACATGACCTATGAAAGAAGATTGAAAACACTGGATTTGTTTAGTCTGGAGAAGAGAAGACTGAGGGTATGTCTACACTATGAAATTAGGTCGATTTTATAGAAGTCAATTTTTAGAAATCGATTTTATACAGTCAATTGTGTATGTCCCCACTAAGCGCATTAAGTCGGCGGAGTGCATCCTCACTACCATGGCTAGCGTAGACTCACCAAGGAGTGTGCTGTGGGAAACTTTCCCGCAGTCTCCGCTGCCCACTGGAATTCTGGGTTAAGCTCCCAATGCCTGATGGGGCAAAAACATTGTCTTGGGTGGTTCTGGGTACATTTAGTCAGTCTCCCCTGCCTCCCTCCCTTCCTCCCTCCGTGAAAGCAACGGCAGACAATCATTTCGCACCTTTTTTCCTGGGTTACCCAGGCAGACACCATAGCACGGCAAGCATGAAGCCCGCTCAGCTCACCGCTGCTGTTGCGAGCATTGTAAACACCTTGTACGTTATACTGCAGTATGTGCAGAACCTGGCTAAGAGACGGCAGCACAAGGACGATTGTGAGGAGGATGTGGACACAGACGTTCCTGAAAGCATGGGATGTGGCAACTGGGACATCATGGCAGCAGTGGGGCTGGTTGATAAAGTGGAACGCCGATTCTGGGCCCAGCAAACAAGCACAGACTGGTGGGACCGCATAGTCTTTCAGGTATGGGATGATTCCCAGTGGTTGCGAAACTTTCACATACGTAAGGCCACTTTCCTGGAACTCTGTGAGTTGCTTTCCCCTTCCCTGAAGTGTAGGAATACCAAGATGAGAGCTGCCCTGACAGTTGAGAAGCAAGTGGCCATAGCCCTGTGGAAGCTTGCAACACCTGACTGCTACCAGTCAGTCGGGAATCAATTTGGAGTTGGCAAATCTACTGTGGGGACTGCAGTGATTCAAGTAGCCAATGCAATCACTGACGTTCTGCTATCAAGGGTAGTGACTCTGGGAAATGTGCAGGTCATAGTGGATAGCTTTGCTGCAATGGGTTTCCATTACAGTGGGGTGATAGGCGGAACCACCTTCCCAACCAGTACATAAACCGCAAAGTGTACTTTTCAATGGTGCTGCAAGCACTTGTAGATCACAAGGGATGTTTCACCGACATCAACGTGGCATGGCCAGGAAAGGTGCATGACGCTCACATCTTTAGAAACTCCGGGCTGTTTGAGCAACTGCAAGAAGGGATTTACTTCCCAGACCATAAAATTACTGTTGGGGATGTTGAAATGCCAATAGTTATCCTTGGACCCACCCTACCACTTGCTCCCATGGCTCATGAAGTCATACACAAGCAGCCTGCACAGTAATAAGGAGCAGTTCAACTACAGGCTGAGCAAGTGCAGAATGGCAGTAGAATGTGTCTTTGGACGTTTAAAAGCTCACTGGCGCTGTTTGCTGACTAGGTTAGACCTCGGCGCAACCCAATGTTCCCATTGTTATTGCTGCTTGCTGTGTGCTCCACAATATCTGTGAGAGTAAGGGGGAGACATTTATGGCAGGGTGGGAGGTTGAGGCAAATTGCCTGGCTGCCAATTTTGAACAGCCAGACACCAGGGCAATTAGAAGAGCCCAGGTAGGCACGCTATGCATCAGAGAGGCTTTGAAAACCAATTTTATGACTGACCAGGCTACGGTGTTACAGTTGTGTGTGTTTTTCCTTGATGCAAACCTGCCCCCTTTGTTGATTTTTATTCCCTATAAGCCAACCACCCTCCCCCCTTCAATCACAGCTGGCAAAGGAAATAAAGTCACTATTGTTTTGAAACCATGCATTCTTTTTTTATTAATTTAAAAAAAGGGGAGATAACTGATAAGGTAGCCCGGGTGGGGAGGGGGAGGAGGGAAGGACAAAGCCACATTGCTTATTGTAGCCACACGACAAATCAAAACTGTTTTGAATGCCAGCCTTCTGTTGCTTGGGCCATCCTCTGGAGTGGAGTGGCTGGGTGCCCGGAGCCTCCCCCCGCCCCCGTGTTCTTGGGCCTCTGGGTGAGGAGGATATGGAACTTGGGGAGGATGGCAGGTGGTTGTACAGTGGATGCAGTGGCGATCTGTGCTCTTGCTGGCTTTCCTGCCGCTTTATCAGACACCTGAACATGTCCGTTTGCTCCCCCATTAGCCTCAGCATTGCATCCTGCCTCTTCTCATCGCACTCACTTAATGCTTTCCTGGACTCTGCCACTGAATGCCTCCATGCATTCAGCTGTGCCCTATCAATGCAGGAGGACTGCATGAGCTCGGAAAACATGTCATCGCGAATGTGTTTTTTTCACCTTCTAATCTGCGATAACCTCAGGGACGGAGATGATAGGGGGAGCATAGAAACATTTGCACCTGCACAGGGGATAAAAAGGGAGCGTAAAATTTAAGATGATACATTTCCGAGAACAAATGGGAGACTCTTTCACAGTGAATCAAGCAATTCACAGTGGACAGCACATGTGCTTTAGGTACAAGGTCGCATTTTACCTTTTATATTGAGCGCCTGCCGGTATGGTGACACATCACACATGGCTGGGCAACAGAATTTGGTTTCCAGGCAGCCAAGGCAATTCACAGTGGACAGCACATGTGCTTTAGGTACAAGGTTGCATTTTACCTTTTATATTGAGCGCCTGCCGGTATGGTGACACATCACACATGGCTGGGCAACAGAATTTGGTTTCCAGGCAGCCAAGGTAAGCCAAAGGGTACGCAGGTTTGGCTTCTAACGCCTTCATAACATGTGGGAATGTTTTCAAATTGCAGCACCGTCCTTTCTCATAGCAAGCAATGACGGTTGGGTTTGCCATTTAAAAGGAGCGGCTGCGGTTTTTGGGTGGATGTGCAGCGCACATCTCCCCCCACTCCTCTGCGTGGCTATTTGGGATGATCCCTTCACCCTCCCTCTGCTGCATGGCTTTTCTCAGGGATGATCCCTTTTAGCCGAGTGCAAACAGCCTAGCATGAACGGTGTCCTTTCACTGTTCCCTTACAAAAATTCCCCTATTTCAACCAGGTGACCATGAATGATATCACTCTCCTGAGGCTAACACAGGAAGACATAGCCCTAATGTTGCTTGAATGCAACCAAAACCCAGGGCTATTCGCTGCCATGCTTTGTGCTGCAATGATTCCAGACTACTTGCTACTGGCTTGGCGTGGTAAAGTGTCCTACCACGGAGGATGAAATAAGGCAGCCCTCCCCAGAAACCTCCTGCAAAGGCTTTCAAAGTACCTCCAGGAGAGCTTCATGGAGATGTCCCTGGAGGATTCCCACTCCATCCCCAGACACGTTAACAGACTTTTCCAATAGCTGTACTGGCTGCGAATGCATCCCAATTCTTCAGGGCAAATCAAACATTACACTACAGGGGTTAAAAGCAATTGTGTTTAGTTACAAATGTGCACTCATCAGAGGTGCCTTCTCTGCCTTCAGGGTCGGGGATCCCGCCTTGGGAGGGTATTGGCTTCAGGGTGATGAAGAGGTCCTGGCTGCCTGGGAGAACAGATTCACCACTTGCCTGCTGTGCATTCTCCTCCTCCTCATCCACAAAATCCTCCTCCATGTTGTGTGAGACTCCTGCCTTGCAGGTGTCCACGGACAGCGGTGGGGTAGTGGTAGGATCCCACCCTAGAATGCCATGCAGCTGACCATAGAAGCAACACGTATGGGACTCTGACCCAGAGCCACCGTTTACCTCCTTTGTCTTTTGGTAGGCTTGCCTGAGCTCCTTGACTTTCATGTGGGACTGCTGTGTGTCCATCGTAGTCTCTGTCCATCATGCCCTGTGCGATCTTGGCATATATAGTAGCATTTCTTCTTTTTGATCGGCGTTCTGCCTGCACAGATTCTTCTCCCCATACAGCAATCAGATCCAGTGTCTCTCGTTCGCTCCATGCTGGAGCTCGTTTGCAATTCTAGGGGGACTGCATGATCACCTGTGCCGCTGAGCTGGCCACACTGACCAAACAGGGAATGAAATTCAAAAGTTCCTGGGGCTTTTCCTGTGTATCTGGCTAGTGCATCAGAGTTGAGAGTGCTGTCCAGAGCGGTCACATTGGAGCACTCTGGGATAGCTCCCGGAGGCCAATAACATTGATATGCATCCACACTACCCCAAATTCGACCCAGCAAGGTCGATTTTAGCGCTACTCCCCTCACTGAGGAGGAGTACAGAAGTCAATTTTAAGAGCCCTTTTGGTCAATGGAACAGGGTTGCTTGTGTAGACGCATTCATTATAAAATCGACCTAACGTGGCTAAATTCAACCTAACCCTGTAGTGTAGACCAGGGCTAACAGGGGACATAACACTTTTCAAGTACATAAAAGGTTTTTACAAGGAGGAGGGAGAAAAATTGTTCTTCTTAACCTGTGAGGATAGGACAAGAAGCAATGGGGTTAAATTGCAGCAAGGGCGATGTAGGTTGGACATTAGGAAAAACTTCCTAACTGTCAGAGTGGTTAAGCACTGGAATAAATTGCCTTGGGAGGTGGTGGGATTTTTAAGAGAAAGTTGGACAAACACCGATCAAGGATGGTCTAGGTAATACTTAGTGCTGCCTTGAGTGCAGAGGACTGGACTAGATGACCTCTCGAGGTCACTTCCAGTTCTATGATTCTATGAAAGGGGCCAAATTAAGGTTCCACAGGCAACCTCAACTCTGGCATTTCCTAACTTTTGGGTGCTTGACTTTACAACTTTAATGAGGTTCTCTTAACATAGTTTTCTTGTTTGTAGTATAAAGTAAGAATGAGAACTGGAGATGGAAAATCAGTTTATTTTCTTGCAGTTGTCTCTCACTTGTTATCCCTGACCAATCTTTGAACTAGTTAACTTAGATTCTAACTACCAAATGTATAAGATTCATGTCGAATTTATTGGAGATAAGTGCATTATATGTTTTATGTAGTGCATTTCAACTGACGATCTCAAAACACTTTCATACTAGCTTTAGTATGTACCTCTCCTAACCAGTTTGATACATTTTAATCATACTAATTTGACAGTTGGGAAAATAGATCCTAATGACAGTAATAGATATGGGGATTCCATAAATTTTGGTGAATTTAGCAGGTACAAATCAAGACTGTTGGAGGCATCAAGGCACTGCCATGGCCCAGGTTGATCTCTGGTTTACAATCACTTGTTCCCTGAGCAAGCTGTGAAGACTTCCCTGGGAATGGAACAGTTTCTGACTTTCTTCAGCTTTGGTTCCCTTGACTAATAAAGGGGATATGATGAAATGCTTCAAAGTCCATTAGTCCATAGTGCATATCTTGCATTTATATTTGATGGGTAGCGTCTCATTCCACAATTGCTCCCGTTTAAATTATAACATATTAAGAAGTTAAGTAATCAGTATTTTAGACTGCACCTTCTTCAAATCTTGCTCTTTCATTGGGTAGTCATAGTCATGATACATAGCGATACTCCTAACAATATTGTAAACTTTGAATAGTTTTGTTTATATGAATTGATTTTTTTTACAATAAAACTTAATAAAAATGCTCAAGTCTCAGGATTGCTGTGGATTTCATTTGCAATTATCCGCAACTCTGATGCTTTTAACTCACAAAAACCCAATGACTGTTGTCAGCTACATATTTTTGATAATAGTGTTTACGTTGGTACCGTCAAAAAGCTGTGTTATAGTGTTACGCCAGTTAATAAAGTTTGTAAAGAACTTGTTTGAGAAAACACCCAGTGGTTCATCTATGAAACCCTCTGTAATAGGTTGAAAAGAATAAATGGCAGTGATATAAGCTTGTAATAAGCTTAGCCTTCGGACTCATCATTTTTTTTTTTTTTAAAGTCTTTCCTGAATGGATATTTGAAAGAGTGAAAGAAACCGAAGGGCATTTAAATCCCCCCCCCCTTTTTTACACACTTAATCCAAGCATTTGATGCCACACCCACATGTGTGCCTGGCCCTAACAAATGCTACTAGCTAGAAGGTTCTGTACAGTCTGAGGTGAATGCAACCCAGCAATGTGGATTTGTGAGGCAGTCTTCTTGAAGAACTCCAGATACTAGTAACTTATGAATTTTTTAAAATTCTTTTTTCTTGTCACTAAGAATCTGTATTTTCTATTCATGGAATGTGGCAACCTTCTACTTGCCAAAGGTTGTAGAGCCTTCTAGATAAAGTGTTGTCCCACCATTGCAAAGTACTGAGTTCATATTTTGCTAAAGTTTTACTTTTATTAAACTCTCTATTAAAATGTTTCCATTATGATTTTAGATTTTCCAAAAACTTCTGAGCCGAAACGTATCATGTTAAAAAGCCTATTTTGAAAGCTGTGTAGCCATATGAAGATATGATAGCTAAGTTAGAAAAGAGATTATACTGAAGACACAATGTGTGCCAATTTGGTCTTTCCCTTTCT